CTGGAAAAATATACAGTCCCTACTCTTGCGACTTAGAGGAGAAGTTGTCCTTGGATTACCATAGAGAGTAAAATTGAACCCACCAAGTCCAAGACATTAAACTCCCTTGTCTCTTACTGTTTCCAAGATACCAGGGTTTGCAGGGAGTGCAGCTACATGCTCATCCAGAGGAAGATAAATCACTGCATGTTTTCCTCTAAAGGAGACAGTTTCTAAAAATAGGAGCCATGCTGGAGCTACCGAGAACAAAAGAACACTTGGGAACCACCTCTGCCATTGTCCTCCTCTCCATATCTGTGCTCTCTGCCACTCCACAGATAGCTACATGCCTGTCTCCCAAATGCCATCTATGCGCCGTATATTTTGGAAGTCTTTAAAATCTGCCATTTTTTGGAGCATGAGATTTTAAAGATCGCAGCTTCTGTCCCCTCCCCCTTGGCATTCCAGACTGGTGTGACTCAGCTTCCTGAACACTGCCCATTTAACATGATCCTGCCGTTTGTTACCGGGCTCTCTTACCATTCCCCTTTAAAAGAAAAGTGTCTGAAACATTCTCTCTGGATCCTAGGAACATTGTCCTTTGGTGCTGCATTTTCAGGCCAGACATGATCACCAAACAGTGTAAATCCAGAGTAAGCCCAGAGACTTCACTGGAGTCACTCTGGTTGTAGACTGGTGTAAATGAGATCAGAATTCAGCACTCACTCTGGGAGATATTTTTGAATCACAGGCAGAATGTTTAAGCCTGAGATTTTCCAAGTGGACTAGAGGATTTGGGACTCTGGATTAATGGGGTTTACACGTCCACTCCATGATTTTAAATCTCAGCCTGAGTCTTTAAGTAAAAGTTCTTTTCTTTGAATTACCACGGTGTCTGTGCTCCTCACTTCCCTTCATAGCTACGACAACATTCTGGACTCTGCATTTGCTTGGGGTATCCTATTATTCAGTCATTTTTATCGCACAGTAAATGTAACTGGCGCTTCATGAAACAAATGCAAGATCCTTGAAAATTACGAGGTCACTGCCTTGGAATTTGCTGTCCTCCTAACAGAGGAAAGCAAACCCCAGACGCTAAAAAGCACAGAGGCAACACCCATGAGAAGGTCAGGATTGGAAAGATCCAAACTGTTCTCTTCCATGGAAGAGGAGGAAGGGGGCTGCACCCTATTAAATGTCTAAAGTAGCTCTCCGAGGTCTGAGCCTACATCCCCTGCAGTGCCACGTTCCCTGAGAGCCCATCGTGCCTCGTGCCTCTGTCAGTGTTGGCAGCTTCCCATTTCCTCTCTCTCCGTAACTTGTCTTAAGACTAAATATTAACGGATCTCTCATTAGTAATGGCCCAGCTCCCTTGTACGGTCTATGTTGGTGGTTGTTGCACAAGTTAATTGGTGCATTTTGAACCTCATCTCTGCTTGTAGTGTGAAATGCTCAGTAAATTCTCTGGTTACTGTGTAAGAATCCTGTGTGTTGACTACCCCTTCACCCGATCTGTCAGGGTGCAGGAGCACTATGAGACTGGACCTGTGGTCTCTGCAGGCTGCATCTCTTTTTGTTTAACTGGGTAATCCTAAGGCATAGCTGGCTTCCTGGGTTACAGCCAGGTAGCTACAGGATACTGGGATGGAGAGGAAGGCAGCATTGTAGCTGCTAGGAGAACTGTGACCCGAGATGATGATGACCGAAGCAGGGTCATGAGATGTTGATTTACCATGACAAGGATATAGAAATTTTTCCATTTGGTGACAGAAATCAAACATGGGTACCAGGCTGAGATTCTAAAACTAAACGGGAAGCAAGGCGGGTTTAACTGACTACTGTTCTGACAACCTGAGCCATCCGCATGGCAGGCCTATTCTGGCAGAACAGAGACTGGAGTGACATGGACACTGGCACCTTGAATCTCCCTTGCCCTGCATCTTGGATAGTCCAGAGCAAAGTGGCTGTCAAACGCTGTCGGCTCACAATGGTGGCAATTACACTACCGCAAAGCGGGTAAAGTGGCAGCAGGACCATGGAGAAGCAGGCCCTGGAATTGTGCGCTGCAGTCTCTATGTAACACAGCCTGTGCTTCCTGAAAGCTTCAGCTGTCATTTGCTTTAGAGATGATTCAGGCATGGAGCATATCACGCCTATGCTCCATAGAGTGTACTAGCTGCTAGCTGGGATCTACAGTAGTGTAGGTCTGCACTGTCTAAGACCCTGTCTGTTCTAGGGAAATGGTTTAAAACATCCCACTATTGCCGATACTAGCTCTATCGCCAGTGGAGCCACGTTGCGTGTCCTAATGTGGACAGGGTGCCGGTGCCATTGTTAAGATCCTAAGACCTACCGGACTGGGTGAGACCAATGGTCCATCTAGCCCTGTATTGTGTCTCTGACCAGTGGCCAGTGCCAGAGCTTCGGGGGGGAGTGCACAGAACAGGACAGTTGGAATGATCCACCCTGTCTTCTCCTCCTACCTTCTAGCAGTCAGAGGTTTAGGGTTGCATCCCTGACTATCTTGGCAAATAGCCACTGATGGATCTATCCTCCATGAACTCGTCCAGTTCATTTTGAACCCAGTTATACTTTTGGCCTTCACAATGTCCCATGGCAATGAGTACCAGAGGTTAATCATGTATTGTGGAAAAAGTACTTCCTCTTGTTTGTATTAAACCTACTGCCTAATAATTTCATTGGTTGATCCTTGGTTTGTGTATTGTAAATAAAACTTCTCTACTCACTTTCTCCACACCATTTATGATTTTATAGACCTCAGTCATATTCCCCCCATCCCTTTAGTTGTCTCTTTTTTTTTTTCTAAGCTGAACAGCCCTAATATTTGTAGTCTCTCCTGGTATGAACACCTCAGAAATCCTTATTGCCCTTCTCTGACCCTTTTCCAGTTCCATTATATCCTTTTTGAGACGGCGGGTGGACCAGGACTGCACATAGTATTCAAGGTGTGGGTGCATCATGGATTTATATTGTGGCATGAGATTATTTTTTTTTCTTGTTTTCTATCCCTTTCCTACTCGTTCCTAACATTCTCTTAGCCTTTTTGACTGGAGGGAAGGATTTTCCAGTGATTAGGACACTAGTCTGGGGCTTGGGAGAGACAGGTTCAATTCTCTGCTCTGTCACAGACTTCCAGCGTGTCCTGGGGCAGGTCATTCATTCTCTGTGCCCAGTTCCCCTCTTTGAAATAGGGATGGCGGTGCTACCCTGCCTCCCAGGGGGTTTGTGAGGTGATTGTGAGACGTCCAGATATGATGGTAATGGAGGCGGGAGGGGCAGGTAAGTACCAAAGATTGATAGGGCATGTTGAGAGGCCTGTCTTACTGTGGTTTTCCCTGAGTTACTTTTGCTCATTTTGGAGTTCTCCTGAACTGACAGCACTTCGATCCCTGCTTGCAGAAGGCATGTTTGGAAAAAGGTGATCCCTGTATTGAGTTGACAGTGCAGTGTAGCAGACCACTGCGCTGAGGACACTCCAGATCATGGCAATACGGAATTGGCAAAGCAGCCTATGGGAGTTCAGTATCCAACACCCATTGAAATTAGACATTTGAGCACCTAATTCCCTTGGGCTCTTGGAAATCCCAGCCTTAATGGCTGCTCACATTGTCCATATCTCCAACAAGTGCAGCCTCCCTGGCCTGACACTCCTGTGACTTAATGTGGATACCCATCGTACAGTCTGAACAGCTCCGCCCCGCTGCTGGCTTTTGTGTTCTTGGGATAAACATTCATCCCACAGGCTGTGCCTGGAAGTCAAGCTCGAAGGCTGTGTAGGGTGCGAACAGGCTTTCACTGGAACACAGAAATTGTTCTTATTATTTGGGTTACGGGACCACATTGGAACCCCAGTCACAGTCCAGGACCCCGCTGTACTGTGCAAATGCAGAACAAAAAGATGGTCCCTGCCCTAATGAGTTTACAGTCCAAGTGTAAGAGAAGAGATAACAGGTGGATACAGACAGATGGGGCGGCATAAGGAAACAATGAAACAGTTGTGATCAGCTTGATGGGCAGGGCTCTCAGCACACCAGCGGCCTAACTGTTGTAATGTTTTTGTAGGCATCATGGCAAAGGAGAGATTTGAAGGAGTATAATGAGTTCGTTTTGTGGGTGTTTATGGGGAGCATGTGGGGCAGCATGGGAGAAAGCACAAAGGTGCTATCTGAAAATTTAACAAGTGGGCAATGGAGGCTAGGATCGTGGGTTGATCAGAGGCAAGGGTAGACCTTTTGATACTGAATGGGAGATAAGTAGGGTGTGGGGATAGTCCACAAAGGGCCATGGAAGTGAAGTCAAGCAGCTTAGAGAGGGATGATGTGGTCAAAGCAATAGGCTAGGATAGTGGTTCTCGGCCTGCGGCCCAATCAGCACAGAGCTGCGGCCCATGTGACATCCTCAGGGCCATAGAGGTAGTATTTGATTCGGCCCACATAACATGTGGCCCACAATAAAATAAATAGGTTGCGAACCACTGGGCTAGGACAATGATCCTTTGCATAAGCATTTTGAATGGATACCTCTAGCCTAAGGGCAGGTCACTCCAGCTCAAGGGCAGCAGAGGGCACGTCACTGTGTTACTGTGTGACATCCTGCACAGGTTCCATCATTTTCACAAGGTTCCCTTTGCAGGGGTTCTTCGCAAAAAATCCACCACCACCCAGTGGCTTGACTTCAAATGGACTGGCTGCTCCTCTCAGAAGAGGGTGGGTGGGAGCCAGGCATTGAAGCATGTGCATTTTTATTTTAAACTGCTTACTGCAAGAATGATTATACATCAAATCATTGGTGCACAGGATTAAACCCTCTTAAGTGTGGGTTAGAAATGCGGCAGTAATCTCAACCCGGCTGCAGAAGGGGAGGAGGCACAGCGGAAGCAGAGGAGGGGGCGATTATCTGCCAGGAAAGCTTTTTAACACAAAATTACATTATTCCAAATGGCAGTAAAGAAGCCAAGATTCGGCCCTGATCGACTGAAGCTTTCCTTTTCTCTGTTGCAGATGAGCCCGATCCTGCCCTCTGTGGTGCTGTCCCGACCACGCCTCACAGGAACGAACTCTGGTAAGTGCTGATACTCCTGGGATAAATCACACATTTGTGTCACTGCCACGGAACCGATCCCGAGGACTTTCACTTTTAACTGAGCTTGTAGGTAGTAAAGCCCTAAGGATGCCCCCTCCCCTTGCCATCATCCTTGCTGTTGAGCAACGGTGGGCATCTTACTCTGACTCACGCTTGCCAGGCCAGGGCTAAATGCAGTCCAGCCTAGGTGTCCTGCTTGATGACATCATTGGGCCTCCAAGCCCAACCCGTGCAACATTTTCAGTCTTAAAGTATAAGACTAGGATGAGGAATCAAACCCAGTTCGCCTGATTGCACCTCTCAAGTAACCTGTGTTTCCCATGATAACATGCTACCAAGTGGCTTTTGGGAGGGAATGGGGTGCATGACCTGCCATTCAGTCTTTTGCTTTTTCTTGTTTTGCTCTTCCCTCATATCCTCCAGCTGCCTGCATGCACATCACCTCCTGCAGGGGTGTCTGAGGCGAGGTAGTGTACCATTCCTCTTCCAGTGCCACTATGATGGCCACTGGGGGCCCGCCTACAGCCATTATCTTCCAGGAGGCTGGCAGTTGTAACAGAGATTTAAGGTTGATTGAGCGATGTTCAGGGAGTAGCTGTGGAACACGATGGAGAAAGCATGTCAGATATTGTGTGTCCCACATTGTGGCACTGAGTGATAATTCTGCAGGGCAGTATGGACCACTGACCTGCTCAGAATCCCCCTCTTTTATCTTGCTTATGCAACATAACTGGTGCCCAGCACATTTTAATGGGTTTATTTTTGTATCCAGTGTTGCTCAGTGTTCTGATCCTTCCTGGGCTAGGAGTTTCCTTATTGAGTTATTCTTAATAATACACATGGGATTTGCAGTGTATATGGTAATCCTTGGTGACCATAGAGGAACTCTCTTCCAACCAGCAGTTATTTTGCTTGGGTAAAATAAGGGATTTTACTGAACTGGAAAAATGGATGTGAATTTGTGGGGAGAGGAGGTTTCTTAAAACAGAAAACGGCAGTGCTGTGTGGGAATTTTGTGGGCTTGGCAGCTGTTCTGTCTTAGCCAACAAAGGTGCTTTGTTCTCACTTCAATAGAACTTGACCTGTTAGATAATGCTATCCTGTCTCATAGACTTGAGACTGTTGTGGTTTTTATCACCTCTGGTCACCTCTGCATTTGGAGGCATTTGAGTCCCCTGTTTGTTAGATTCTCTGGCCCAGTGCACATCATAAGGGGCAAGTGGAAGTCTTAGTCGGTGCTTTTCTATGAGGAAGGTTTGGAATGAGAGAGGTGGTATATTGGATGACTCGGTTGATTTGATAAGATATTCAGGGGGTTTCCACTGAACCAGGTTTGTAATGAGCCAAAGCTATTAGTATTTGGTGGCTGATATGAACTGAACAAAGGGGGATCTCAACCCAGATGTTATTTGACAAGCGTCCACCTCACACAATCACTGCCATGTTTGTCACTGACAACAGAGAAGCCGAGGACTGAGTAGGCCATGGAGATTCAAGTGTAGTCCTTGTAATCCAGGAATAAGGTATATTGGCAGAAGCCGGTGTGTGGCGGAATCTTACCTTGCTCTCTGGCTATACAGAGGCCTGGAGTCTGTATGGCTGTCAGTGTGCTGCCTTTTGCACTGTCTGTGCTAAACCCAATGGTCTGTGAAGCGGTACCTCTGATAGCTGCCATCAGAAATATCACTCTCAGCATGCAATGCTCTTTCTCAGTCAAAACCTGCTGGGACCTTGGTGTCCACCATCTGCACCTCCATTTTAATAAAGACGCTTGCCTAGCTTTTTTTCATCCATAGATCTCCAAGCACTTTGTAAAGTGGGTAGAATAATTATTCTTGTATTTGCAGAGGGAGTAGGAGTGGCTCAGAGCAGTTCAGCAGCTGGTCACTGGCAGAGAGGGGAAAAGGAGTCCAATCTGATCCGCAGCTGCCCTCATGTGGTGTCCACAGGCACCTCTTTTTAGATTTCTGCACTACCTCTGCCCCAAGGGTTGAAATTTTAGCCATAGCTGACCTATAGGCACTGCTTCTCGAATCCTAGTCCCTTTGGGCATCTGCCCCTCTCCTTCCCCTTCCTACCAGCAGCCACGTTGGCAATAAAAAGCCTTCGACCCTTTCAAAACTGGATCCATAGGGATCGTCTGTGAATGATGGAGATTGTAATGGCTCCCCACAAGACTGCAATTGCCTTAGCAGCAGTGCCCTGCTCCACTTACTGCAGATGAGATGCAGCCCTCAGGATCCTTGCAGGCGGTTAGCACTGTCCTATTCTGTGCCCCAGTGTAGAAAGAGTAGGTGTGGGGAGGAACCTTTTTAGGGCGTATTCTCTCTACTTTGAGGCCCCGCCAAGGTGTGAGAGGATGGAATTAGCCAAGGACTTCTCTGTAAGCTGGCCTGCTGCTCCTGCCCCCCTTGGCTTGTGGCCCCTGTACAGAATATTGAAGCTGGAGAAACAAAAAATAATAAAGAGGAGCAAAATGGATCCTAATTTCTCACACTTCCTCTAGAGAGCTGCCAGCTAGTAGAACTTTCCTCTGAACAAGCCACTGGTGAGGAGCCCCCAGGCTCCTATCTCTGGACTCAGAGAAGGTTAAAGGGTGATTTTATTAGTCTGTAAGTACCTACATAGGGAACAATAATGGGCCCTTCAATCTAGCAGAGAAAGGTTGAAGCATGATCCAATGGCTGGCAGTTGAAGCTAGACTACTTTAGACTGGAAATAAGATGTAAATTTTTAACAGGGAGAGTAATTAATGACTGGAACAACTTACCAAGGATCTTGGTGGATTCTCCATCATTGACCATTTTGAAATCAAGATTGGATGTTTTTCTAAAAGCTCTGTTCTAGGAATTATTGCGGGGCAGTTATCTGGCCTGTGTTACACAGGCTGTCAGACAAGATGATCATAATGGTCCCTTCTAACCAAGGAATTTATGGATCCAAAAGGCAGAGTGCTAGGGGCCATGTCTGCACTGTCCATTAAGCTCTATGAAAGCCTCACTGGTTCCTGTTTGGCCTCACAATAAAATATCCGTCTTCCCACAGCAGCAAATATCCATGGTCAGCTTGGTAGAAAGAGGGATAGAACTGTCTAGGAGACTCTGTCCCAAAGGTCTCTGCAGAGGATGGGGTGGATTTTTGAGAGGCGAAAGGAAATATTTTGTTTCAGTGGGTTGAGGCAGGAATCCAGGAAGTGATGATGGAAACGTTCAGCTGGACTTCAGGAAACCCTTTCTAACAGGGTCACTTCTAATATGTGGGTCAGCCTCTCTAGGGAAGCTGCTAACACTATAGGAGTCTTTGAAACAAAACTGGACCAAGTTCTTGAGGATATGCAAAAGAGATTCATCTTGCACATGGCATTGGGAGGGGGAAGGAGAAAGTGGAATAGGCAGCCTAATAGGTCCTTTCCATCCTTCGTATATTTGAGTATATATCAGAGTCCTGCAGTTAGGACGGAAGAATCCCATGCACCGCTACAGACTGGGGACCGAATGGCTAGGCAGCAGTTCTGCAGAAAAGGACCTAGGGGTTACAGTGGACGAGAAGCTGGATATGAGTCAACAGTGTGCCGTTGTTGCCAAGATGGCCAATGGCATTTTGGGATGTATAAGTAGGGACATTGCCAGCAGATCGAGGGACGTGATCGTTTCCCTCTATTTGACATTGGTGAGGCCTCATCTGGAGTACTATGTCCAGTTTTGGGCCCCACACTACAAGAAGGATGTGGAAAAACTGGAAAACGTCCAGCGGAGGGCAACAAAAATGATTAGGGGACTGGAACACATGACTTATGAGGAGAGGCTGAGGGAACTGGGGTTGTTTAGTCTACGGAAGAGAAGAGTGAGGGGGGGATTTGATAGCTGCTTTCAACTGCCTGAAAGGGGGTTCCAAAGAGGAGGGATCTAGACCGTTCTCTGTGGTAGCAGATGACAGAACGAGGAGTAATGGTCTCAAGTTGCAGTGGGGGTGGTTTAGGTTGGATATTAGGAAAACCTTTTTCACTAGGAGGGTGGTGAAACACTGGAATGCGTTACCTAGGGAGGTGGTGGAATCTCCTTCCTTTGAAGTTTTTAAGGTCAGGCTTGACAAAGCCCTGGCTGGGATGATTTAGTTGGGGATTGGTCCTGCTTTGAGCAGGGGGTTGGACTAGATGACCTTCTGGGGTCCCTTCCAACCCTGATATTCTATGATTCTATGATTAACAGATCAGCCTTGTTAATTTTAAATGGGCTACATACTGAGGAAGCCTGGTGACGTTCTCTGGCATTTATTATGCAGGAGCTCAGACTAGATGATCTAATAGTCCCTTCTGACTTTAAAAACTATGAAAATGAAGTGATGTGTTTTATGTAAACAGAAGTGTTGGTTCATGTCCTTTAACCAGCTAATAAATGTCAAAAATTATTTGCAGCACCAGGAATGAAGAACATGTAGAACTCAAGAAAGGGTTTTACAGAGCAGATTCCAGGGGTTCAGCAGAGCTAAGAAGCATGACTGTGTCTGGCAGCACATCATGGGATTGTTCCACTCTGGAGACAAGAGGAGGTGACTTGAGAGAAGAAAGCACTTTAGAAAGACTCTCTGGTTTGAAGGACTCAGCAGGCTTAAAGGAAATGCAGTGTGTAAATCCTTCATGCTCAATGGAGTCCACGTTTACAGTGGAGTCCAAGATTGTAAATACTGTGCAGATGGACACTGATCAACTGGAGAGCAACTCTGAGGACTTGAACACTCACAATGCTACAGCAGAAACTTCCATCCCTTGTCCTGGAGTACGGTCTGTTAGTGGAGAGGAAAAATATCATAAAAATGAACCAAAGCAACTTGACGCCTTCAGCAAAGAGCACTTAAATAAAAAAAAGAAGAGCATTCAGAGGTTTGACTGGATTTCTGGGCACAATGAGAGTCTGAGTCCTCACTATAAAGACATAAACAAGCCAACAGATGTAGCAACTAACTTATCCACCAGGGGACAGGCCGTGCATGAAGTGCCTTGTCCATTGACTCTGCCGGTATTCAGAAAAACGCTAAACCCTGTCTTGAGCAAGTCAAAAACTGTGGAGAGCGTATCCTCCCACAGGACAGGGCTGGCAATGGAGGCCAGTTTGAGTGACTTGAGTTCTCTTAATGCTGCAGAGTGGACATTGCAAAAGCCAAGCCTCCAGATAAATGCAGATCTTGCTGTCAGCAAACAGTCCTGGACCGTAAACGCTGAAGACTCTGTGGAACGAATCCCACTGATGTCTCTAGAACCGACTCCCTGCAGCTCCTATGACATAGAGATGAGGCCATATGTGTGCAGTGTCTTGCTAGAGGAGCATGGAAAGGACGAGCTTGGCCAGGAGGAGGATCCCACCGTGTACACATGCATTGAATGCAGCATTTACTTTAAGAAAAAGGAACACTTGATGGATCATATGCTTCAGCATAACCGGGGACCAGGGCAGGACCAAGACAGAGATGCAGTTGGGGGTCAGTGTCAGTTCTCCTGTAATGAATGCGGATGGGCATTTGGGGACCTTGGCTCTCTGGAGCAGCACAAGAGGCTTCATCAGGAGTCCAGGGAGAAAATCATTGAAGAAATCCAGAAGCTCAATGAGTTTGCAGACGAAGGTCGAGAAGCCCGGCTGCAGTGCCCCAAGTGTGTTTTTGGAACCAACTCCTCTAAGATCTTCGTCCAGCATGCCAAGATGCATGTCAAGGAGAGGAAGGACCAAGGCATGAAGAATGTGAATCTCTTTGGCAGAGTTGGCAGTGGAGAAATGCATGACAGCCCAGTACACAACATCTACAAACACTTCAAACCAAACAAACACACCCCTCTGCAGGTGCAGCCACACAGCAGCAGTAAAGGACTCAGCACCTGCATGCTCTGCAGCTTCCCCGCTCCCAATGAAAATATCCTAAAGGAACACATGAAATATGCCCATTCCCATCTTCCCTGGGACACAGAGACTTTTGAAGAGGACTCTAATCAGCCCGGAACTAGCAGGGATGCCTACAGCCCCGCTAGGCCAGGCCGATTTTCAGAGACGGATTATTTTGGCAAAGCCGAGAGACTGTTTCCCCAGCCTCACCGAGAAAGCACATCCCATTATGAATCTGTCCAGAACTTTGCCATGGGTCACCAGAGACTCAATAAAAGCAATGGGACTAATAAAAAGGACTTCCAGACATCAGGGTTTCACACCAGGAAAGCAGCCCCGTATGGTGCCCTGCACAAAAACTTAGGGCTGTCCACCCTTACCTCAGCAAAAGTTTATTCTCAGTTTGCCCTACAGCAAATGAAAAAAAAAAGCACAGTACACCACCATGAGAGTGACGGGGACAATTTCAGGAGTCACCCGGGGGAGCTGGAGGAGCTCAGGCACAAATGGGCATTGGCAAATGATGTTGGGAGCATGGAAGAGGAAATTTCTTTAACCACCGAAATAGATTTGACTGAGAATAGACGCTTCAAACCCTTTGCTATTCCTCAGTCTGCTTTGGCCCTCAAGAGAACTTTCAGAGACACATTGAAAGCAACAGACTCTTCTATAGCATCGGAAGAACAGCAGCATCAGTTACGGAAGATGGTCCCTGTTGTCCTTCTAGAGGAGATGAACCTTCATCCCCAGAAGACAAAGCGGCCAAAGGGGAAGCTGTACAAGAAGAAAATAGCAGCTCCTTCCAGGGAGTTCATGATGGACGAATCCCTCCCCTTAGATATTCTCTTGCTGGACTCCCCTCTAGAGGGTTCCCTAGAGCTAGATGACCTCTTGGATACAGACTCGCCCATGCTGAAGAACGAAGAGAGGAAATGTCCATATTGTCCTGACAGGTTTCACAATGGAATTGGCCTAGCCAACCATGTGCGGGGACACCTGAACAGGGTGGGTGTGAGCTACAATGTCCGTCATTTCATCTCAGCAGAAGAAGTGAAAGCTATTGAGCAAAAATTTTCCTTCCAAAAGAAGAAGAAAAAAGGTAGTATGTACTCAATTTATTGTTATTTACTTTTTTTTTTTAACTTTTTTTAACTTTTTTTTTTTTTAATTCCTCCCACTGAGGATGGGTATGTATATTATGGTAGCTGGCCTGAATCTTGGAGTGTCTTGTCACAATACAACATCCATTCATGGCTTTTTCATCTGGTTAAGCTTTTCTCTTTTGGCATTACCACCTGCCTGTGGCTTTTACCATGTTATGTGCAGTAAAGTCCTCCCTCGGGCTTCCCACGTCTGGAAATATTTGTTAGGTGCTTTTAATATTGGTTAGCTGCTCCTGGATGATGCTGACAAATTGTCCTTCTTTTCGCAGTTGCCAACTTTGACCCAAGTACTTTCAGTTTAATGCGATGCGAGTTCTGTGGGGCTGGTTTTGATACACGTGCCGGTCTGTCCAGCCATGCCAGAGCCCACCTGAGGGACTTCGGTATCACCAACTGGGAGCTCACCATCTCCCCAATTAACATCTTAAAGGAGCTGCTGGCCAATTCATCCCAACACCCTATGCTGCAGTCTGCAGTAGGAACAGAGCCTTCATCCCCAAACCGAGAGAGGGAGATGCACGGGTTTGGATACCGAAAAAGCATGACCCCCATGTCCGAATGCAGCATTCCAAGGTCTCCTTTATCCCCGTTCCCACCTGCGTGGGGAGACGAGTCCATGCAGTCCTTCCGAGACGGTAAGCAAGTCCTGAACTTACCTTGCAAGCTGGAAAGTGTATTTACTGCTAATCTAAGGCCAGATCCTGCCATCCTTACACTGAGTAGAATTCGAAGGAGGGGACAATTTGCAGAGCAAGGTTCTACTCAGCATGAATAAAGGTGGCAGAATTGGGCCCCTTGTTATTAATCTCCATCCATACATTGTTATCCCTGTGTCTTGCGACAAACTGAAGCTTGAGCTGTGCCAATGAAACCTAACACTGGCTTTTGAGCAGGCAAATAGATCTGTGGTGGTGGAGCAATAGACAAAAGAACCTGCCTTTCTCTTCTCACACAGCACAACCTTGAAAGCTCCTGTGGAGAGACCCACGTCTTACCACTTAGGAGCGGTCACCTGTATTTGAAAGGGAAGGATTTTTTTTTTATTATTATTAGAAGGACCAATCTCCTGCATGGAATTAGGTTTCTGTCACTAAACCTAGAAACCTGGAATGAGAGTTGGCCCAGTTTTTTCCTCACTCTGCAGAACTTGGGTAGGAGGGAGAAATGGCAAAGTTGACGCCACTGGGACCAGTTCAGTGGCTTCCAGTTATTTATTAATTCTACTAGCACTCAGGTGTGAGTAGAGTCCGTGGCCTGAGAAGATGTGCATTTGCCCCATCTGCTGTACTCTCCCGGAGTCTAACATAACTCTGAGGGACAGGTAAGTGTTCAAAGTAACTATCAGCCACCCCAAACAAAACTGGTTGCTGGTAAACTGACCCAGATTAGTGGATGCAAGTGACAGAAACCCAATGTCCTGTTTTTAAAAAATGTCTGTCTGAAACTGTGGGTGCATTAATCTAGAACTACAGCTCCCTTTAACATCAGAAAGGGCTAGAGAACATTCACCAGAGCAGTCTATTCCGATCTTAATTCCAGAATTCTGGCTGTAGGGAACCACTGGCTGCCCTACAAATCTCAACACATATAATCTCCTGTTCCGAAGTGCAGTCCAAAAAGTGGCAGGATCTGTCTGTGTCTCCCTGTAGCAAAATGGCTCCCACTGCTGCAGCGTCTGAGCACCTTGCAAACATTAATTTATCCTTGTGACATACCTTTCATATTGGGAAGGATTAGTATGCCTGTTTTACAGTTAGGGAAATTGAGGTGCAGAGGCGCTAAGTGACGAGGGTGACCAGATGTCCCGATTTTATAGGGACAGTCCCGATATTTGGGGCTTTGTCTTATATAGGCTCCTATTACCCCCCACTTCCCATCCTGACTTTTCACATTTGCTGTCTGGTCACCCTATAAGTGACTCCTCCAAGGGCTTGCATGGAGTCTATAGCAAAGCCTGGAATGGAACCCAAAACCTCCCAAATCTCCATCCAGTGCCTTAAACAGAGACCAGGGTAGCCTGCCTGGCTACTTCTGTCGGGTTCCTGGATACAGAAGCAGAGTATATCAGTGCTGTTGCCCAGTGAGGTTTTCTCCTTCCTCTGCTTGGGGCACAGGTTACTTGCTGGTTTGAACTAGAGTAAATGGTGGATTTGAACTTGAAATCTTTAAATCAAGAATTGAGGACTTCAGTAACTCAACCAGAGGTTACGGGTCTATTACAGGAGTGGATGGAGGAGGTTCTGTGGCCTGCAACGTGCAAGTCAGACTAGATCAGTAGTTTTCAACCTGTGATCCATGGACCTCGGGGGGGTCCACAGACTGTCTAAGATTTCCAAAGGGGTCTGCACCTCCATTTGAAATTTTTTAGGGGTCTACAAATGAAAAAAAACTAAACACTGGACTAGATGATCGTGATGGTCCTTTCTGGCCTTAAAGTTTATGAGTCTGAGTCTTCCAACACCCATCTGTGGGTAGCCCTTCTGCTGAATGGTGACAGAACTCTGGACCTTGCAAGACTGCTTCCCAGTGGAAGAGAAACTACTGATGCAGAGTCTGGGTCTGTCCTAGGTGTGCCTTGCTTTATCTACCCATGCACACCAGTTCTGGAGCAGAGGCAGTCACATACAGCATGCAGGCAATCCCCTCTTCCAGAAATCCCAGCCCAGTTCCCAGGAAGCTTCTCTGTCCCAAGAATTCACTCCAACTGCAGAGAATAAAACCGAGAAGCGCTCCTATCTGCCACAGCTTCTCTCCAAGGACAAAACTAACAATAATACAACATTTCTTCAAAGACTAAAAGCTCGATAAAAGGAACTTCTAAGGCTGTGTATGACAGCACTCTCTGCTGACTCCTACCATTGCAATAATATCCTGTCAACTTTCTCAAAGTCCTTGAAACAGATGAAAAAAGGACAGTCACTGGAATTCCAAACTTAGCAGTCACCTTAGCTGTCTCTAGTTAAAATAAGGAGCATGCAATGTAGGGTGTGCTGGCATGCTCCTCGTACCCTAGCTGTGTCTAAAAGGATTCTTGAAGATGAATATAGATAATTTATCTGAAAAACACAGCTCTGCTTGGCAAGTCAAATCACAATAGATACATATAGCCTTGTGACTGTGACTGGCTGCTAGTAAGATGTGAGCCATGGGCTTGTCATAGACACAGTGCTATGATGCACTGCTTAGGTGCAACTCTTACATACGCTCATAAGCAGTTTTAGTGTCTTAGAAATGTTACTGTCTTTGGCTGGCACTTCAGCAGCTTCAAGCCACACGTTCCATGAAAGACTGCAGAAGATGCTTTTCTAATACGTGCAGTTTGTTTACTTAGAATGCTGTGTTGAGCTTGTTAAAAGTTAGCCCTACTCCCAGAATGTACAAGTGTTCTTGTTAATAAATTAAATGAATGGAAAGGGAAGGTGCCTCGGTCAGCTAAGTCGCTCCAAAAGCCTTTCAGTAGCAAATCGCTCTCAATGAAGAGAGATTTTAAAAAATGGGAGACCCTGACCTTCACTTTGGATTTTCAGTGTAATTCTAATTATACAAATTCCTCTTATCCAAAAGTCCTAGTTATCCAAAACAGTGTCCCTCAAAAAGAACAAGGAGTACTTGTGGCACCTTAGAGACTAACAAATTTATTTGAGCATAAGCTTTTGTGGGACAAAGCCCACTTCATCAGATGCATGCAGTGGAAAATACAGTAGGAAGCTATATAGATTATATAGATATATACAGAAGAGAGAGAGAGAGAGAGAACATGAACAAAGCGGGGGTTACCATACCAACTCTTAATGAGGCCAATCGATTAAGGTGGGCTATTATCAGCAGGAGGAAAAAAAATAAAATTTTTGTAGGGATAATCAGGATGGCCCATTTCAAACAGTTGACAAGAAGGTGTGAGTAACAGTAGGGGGAAAATTAGCATAGGGAAATAGGTTTTTAGTTAGTGTAATGACTCATCCACTCCCAGTCTTTATTCAAGCCTAATTTAATGGTGTCCAGTTTGCAGATTAATTCCAGTTCTGCTGTTTCTCATTGGAGTCTGTTTTTGAAGTTTTTTTGTTGAATAATTGCAACTTTTAGGTCTGTAATTGAGTGTCCAGGGAGGGTGAAGTGTTCTCCGACTGGTTTTTGAATGTTATAATTCTTGACGTCTGATTTGTGTCCATTTATTCTTTTGCTTAGAGACTGTCCGGTTTGGCCAATGTACATGGTAGAAGGGCATTGCTGGCACATGATGGCATATATCACATTGGTAGATGTGCAGGTGAACAAGCCTCTGATAGTGTGGCTGATGTGATTAGGTCCTATGATGGTGTCCCTTGAATAGATATGTGGACACAGAGTTGGCAACGGGCTTTGTTGCAAGGATAGGTTCCTGGGTTAGTGTTTTTATTGTGTGGTTGCTGGTGAGTATTTGCTTCAGGCTGGGGGGCTATCCATAAGCGAGGATTGGCCTGTCTCCCAAGATCTGTGAGAGTGAGGGATCGTCCTTCAGGATAGGTTGTAGATCTTTGATGATGCGCTGGAGAGGTTTTAGTTGGGGGGCTGAAGGTGACAGCTAGTGGCATTCTATTACTTTCTTTGTTGGACCTGTCCTGTACTAGGTGACTTCTGGGTACTCTTCTGGCTCGGTCAATCTGTTTCTTCACTTCAGCAGGTGGGTACTGTAATTGTAAGAACGCTTGATAGAGATCTTGTAGGTGTTTGTCTCTGTCTGAGGGGTTGGAGCAAATGCAGTTGTGTCTTAGAGCTTGGTTGTAGACAATGGATCCTGTGGTGTGGTCTGGATGAAAGCTGGAGGCATGTAGGTAAATATAGCAGTCAATAGGTTTCCGGTATAGGGTGGTGTTTATGTGACCATTGCTTATTAGCACTGTAGTGTCCAGGAAGTGGATCTCTTGTGTGGACTGGTCCAGGCTGAGGTTGTTGGTGGGATGGAAATTGTCGAAATCATGGTGGAATTCCTCAAGGGCTTCTTTTCCATGGGTCCAGATGATGATGATGTCATCAATGTAGCGCAAGTAGAGATGGGGCATTAGAACAACACTTCCTCAGCTCTCGTCCCCTGAGTCAGCCTAACGCCCCTACTCTACTTGCGCTACATTGATGACATCTTCAGGACAGGCCCAACAAAGAAAGTAATAGAACACCACTAGCCGTCACCTTCAGCCCCCAACTAAAACCTCTCCAGCGCATCATCAAGGATCTACAACCCATCCTGAAGGATGAGCCCTCACTCTCACAGATCTTGGGAGACAGGCCAGTCCTCGCTTACGGATAGCCCCCCAGCCTGAAGCAAATACTCACCAGCAACCACAAAACAAAAACACTAACCCAGGAACCTATCCTTGCAACAAAGCCCATTGCCAACTCTGTGCACATATCTATTCAAGGGACGCCATCATGAGACCTAATCTCATCAGCCACACTATCAGAGGCTTGTTCACCTGCACATCTACCAATGTGATATATGCCATCATGTGCCAGCAATGCCCCTCTGCCATGTACATTGGCCAAACCGGACAGTCTCTAAGTAAAGGAATAAATGGACACAAATCAGACATCAAGAATTATAACATTCAAAAACCAGTCGGAGAACACTTCACCCTCCCTGGACACTCAATTACAGACC